GTTCTATCTCAGCATAACACTCAGATGGTAATAACTTGTTATATTCACACTCCCAGACAATCCTCATTCACCCTGGTTCTATCTCAGCACAACACTCAGATGGTAATAACTTGTTATATTCACACTCCCAGACAATCCTCATTCACCCTGGTTCTATCTCAGCACAACACTCAGATGGTAATAACTTGTTATATTCACACTCCCAGACAATCCTCATTCACCCTGGTTCTATCTCAGCATAACACACAGATGGTAATAACTTGTCATATCATCCACACTCGCAGAATCTCCTCTATCTCAGCATAACACACAAATGGTAATAACTTGTCATATCATCCACATTCCCAGAATATCCTCATATTGGTTCTATCTCAGCACAACACTCAGATGGTAATAACTTGTTATATTCACACTCCCAGACAATCCTCATTCACCCTGGTTCTATCTCAGCATAACACTCAGATGGTAATAACTTGTTATATTCACACTCCCAGACAATCCTCATTCACCCTGGTTCTATCTCAGCATAACACTCAGATGGTAATAACTTGTCATATCATCCACATTCCTAGAAAATCCTCATATTGGTTCTATCTCAGCACAACACACAGATGGTAATAACTTGTTATATTCACACTCCCAGACAATCCTCATTCACCCTGGTTCTATCTCAGCATAACACTCAGATGGTAATAACTTGTTATATTCACACTCCCAGACAATCCTCATACACCCTGGTCCTATCTCAGCACAACACTCAGATGGTAATAACTTGTTATATTCACACTCCCAGACAATCCTCATTCACCCTGGTTCTATCTCAGCATAACACTCAGATGGTAATAACTTGTAATATCATCCACACTCCCAGACAATCCTCATACACACTGGTTCTATCTCAGCATAACACACAGATGGTAATAACTTGTCATATCATCCACACTCGCAGAATCTCCTCTATCTCAGCATAACACACAGATGGTAATAACTTGTAATATCATCCACATTCCCAGAAAATCCTCATATTGGTTCTATCTCAGCACAACACACAGATGGTAATAACTTGTTATATTCACACTCCAAGACAATCCTCATACACCCTGGTTCTATCTCAGCATAACACTCAGATGGTAATAACTTGTTATATTCACACTCCCAGACAATCCTCATTCACCCTGGTTCTATCTCAGCACAACACTCAGATGGTAATAACTTGTTATATTCACACTCCCAGACAATCCTCATTCACCCTGGTTCTATCTCAGCATAACACTCAGATGGTAATAACTTGTTATATTCACACTCCCAGACAATCCTCATTCACCCTGGTTCTATCTCAGCACAACACTCAGATGGTAATAACTTGTTATATTCACACTCCCAGACAATCCTCATTCACCCTGGTTCTATCTCAGCACAACACTCAGATGGTAATAACTTGTTATATTCACACTCCCAGACAATCCTCATTCACCCTGGTACTATCTCAGCATAACACTCAGATGGTAATAACTTGTTATATTCACACTCCCAGACAATCCTCATTCACCCTGGTTCTATCTCAGCATAACACTCAGATGGTAATAACTTGTAATATCATCCACATTCGCAGACAATCCTCATACACCCTGGTTCTATCTCAGCATAACACACAGATGGTAATAACTTGTCATATCATCCACATTCCCAGAAAATCCTCATATTGGTTCTATCTCAGCACAACACACAGATGGTAATAACTTGTTATATTCACACTCCCAGACAATCCTCATTCACCCTGGTTCTATCTCAGCACAACACTCAGATGGTAATAACTTGTTATATTCACACTCCCAGACAATCCTCATTCACCCTGGTTCTATCTCAGCACAACACTCAGATGGTAATAATTTGTTATATTCACACTCCCAGACAATCCTCATTCATCCTGGTTCTATCTCAGCATAACACTCAGATGGTAATAACTTGTTATATTCACACTCCCAGACAATCCTCATTCACCCTGGTTCTATCTCAGCCTAACACTCAGATGGTAATAACTTGTAATATCATCCACACTCCCAGACAATCCTTATACACCCTGGTTCTATCTCAGCATAACACACAGATGGTAATAACTTGTCATATCATCCACATTCCCAGAAAATCCTCATATTGGTTCTTTCTCAGCACAACACACAGATGGTATAATAACTTGTTATATTCACACTCCAAGACAATCCTCATTCACCCTGGTTCTATCTCAGCACAACACTCAGATGGTAATAACTTGTTATATTCACACTCCCAGACAATCCTCATACACCCTGGTTCTATCTCAGCACAACACTCAGATGGTAATAACTTGTTATATTCACACTCCCAGACAATCCTCATTCACCCTGGTTCTATCTCAGCACAACACTCAGATGGTAATAACTTGTTATATTCACACTCCCAGACAATCCTCATACACCCTGGTTCTATCTCAGCACAACACTCAGATGGTAATAACTTGTTATATTCACACTCCCAGACAATCCTCATTCACCCTGGTTCTATCTCAGCATAACACACAGATGGTAATAACTTGTCATATCATCCACACTCGCAGAATCTCCTCTATCTCAGCATAACACACAAATGGTAATAACTTGTCATATCATCCACATTCCCAGAATATCCTCATATTGGTTCTATCTCAGCACAACACTCAGATGGTAATAACTTGTTATATTCACACTCCCAGACAATCCTCATTCACCCTGGTTCTATCTCAGCATAACACTCAGATGGTAATAACTTGTTATATTCACACTCCCAGACAATCCTCATTCACCCTGGTTCTATCTCAGCATAACACTCAGATGGTAATAACCTGTAATATCATCCAAACTCCAAGACAATCCTCATACACCCTGGTTCTATCTCAGCATAACACTCAGATGGTAATAACTTGTCATATCATCCACATTCGTAGAAAATCCTCATATTGGTTCTATCTCAGCACAACACACAGATGGTAATAACTTGTTATATTCACACTCCCAGACAATCCTCATTCACCCTGGTTCTATCTCAGCATAACACTCAGATGGTAATAACTTGTTATATTCACACTCCCAGACAATCCTCATACACCCTGGTCCTATCTCAGCACAACACTCAGATGGTAATAACTTGTTATATTCACACTCCCAGACAATCCTCATTCACCCTGGTTCTATCTCAGCATAACACTCAGATGGTAATAACTTGTAATATCATCCACACTCCCAGACAATCCTCATACACACTGGTTCTATCTCAGCATAACACACAGATGGTAATAACTTGTCATATCATCCACACTCGCAGAATCTCCTCTATCTCAGCATAACACACAGATGGTAATAACTTGTAATATCATCCACATTCCCAGAAAATCCTCATATTGGTTCTATCTCAGCACAACACACAGATGGTAATAACTTGTTATATTCACACTCCAAGACAATCCTCATACACCCTGGTTCTATCTCAGCATAACACTCAGATGGTAATAACTTGTTATATTCACACTCCCAGACAATCCTCATACACCCTGGTTCTATCTCAGCACAACACTCAGATGGTAATAACTTGTTATATTCACACTCCCAGACAATCCTCATTCACCCTGGTTCTATCTCAGCACAACACTCAGATGGTAATAACTTGTTATATTCACACTCCCAGACAATCCTCATTTACCCTGGTTCTATCTCAGCACAACACTCAGATGGTAATAACTTGTTATATTCACACTCCCAGACAATCCTCATTCACCCTGGTTCTATCTCAGTGCAACACACAGATGGCAATAACTTGTACCACCATCAAGACACCACTCCCCAAATATACCTCATAAAACCGGAATCACAAAGCCGCAAATTGTTTCATGTTCTTAATCAGCTTTCCCATTACAAAATTACCTAGCCATCCCAACAGACAGCAAGACAAAGGTTCCGCACTTTCCACGCAAATTTAGAAATATGTCGCCCTGTGGGGGGGGGAGGGGGGGTGCTTGGAGAAATAATTTGATGAACTTTGTGAGATAAGGTGGCAGTAGAACCTCCAGAGGTATGTTTCATGCATTCAACTCAACTTTAGTGTCTGCTGTGTTGTCCCGAGCAGTCTGAACTGTGAAATAACTCACAGCGTTCCAAACAGAAGAGCTATCATCATCAAAGGATTTTACGTCTTTTTCAACAATACTTTAGCCATATTGACAACACTACAGGGAAAACAGCTTGCCCAGTTGTCTAAGGTTCTGTAATTTGCTGTACAGAGTTGCATCCCTTTGTCATGCCAGAATCTGCTGATCACATTGGGGAATAGACTCCTTGCTCCAGCGCCATACATTGCTAAGCTAGGTTTGAATTGTACCCTTCACAACAAAGACCGCTTCTGCATTGTTTGAATGATTCTAAAAGATTTTAAGACAAACACTCCTATCTTTACAAAATACAGATTCATTTTTAGTCAAAATATTTATTAAAAAAAAATAAAAATCTAAAAGACTGAACAAGAGTCTATTTTTGGTTGCTACAGTTTTAGAGCTCTCATTACTACCAGTAAATTCAGATTTTATGTGAAGAGGAATTTCATTGTCAATTTATGTTAAACCTTTACAAAAACATTGAGACACACCTAACGCTAACGACAATATTTTTTAGTCGTGTTACACTTGCAAAGCCCATCAGGACTGTCTGAGATCTGAATCCTGCATTAGCATTGTTATATCAACCTGTGCATAGTACAACAGAGAGGAACAGCATGACCCATAAGGACAGTTCAAAGCCTTAAAAAGGGATACTTACATCAAACTCTATTTTGAACATTATAAAAAAAAATTAGGAACATGGTACTCTCCGATTATTTCCAGAATGCCTGACACAACATTGAAATGCTGATTGATCATACAGCTCAGAACAGCTAAATGCTCGTATTGAAGTGGTAGATAGTCTGTGTAACGTTTTCTGAACAAATGGTGAACTCACGTGATGACTTGGCTGAGATAATGTCGGTCACGGTTCCGCCTCGTGGTAGTGTCGTCATCCAGCAGCACCTCAAGCTTGTGACTGGAATCAAGGGCACTTTATGAATAGGAAATCTATTAATCACATAATCAAATGGAAAGATCTCATTCCACTAGTCTGTTAACACCAATCTCAGCAGCATTCCAGACCCGTGAAGATCCTAGAATAGGTCTTGAGTGACCCATGCTTGCCATAAAGGCGACTATGCTTGTTGTAAGAGGCGACTAACGGGATCGGGTTGGTTGATGCAAGTCATCGTATCCCAATTGTGTGGATCGATGCTCACGTCAATCACCAGGTTGTCTGGTCCAGACTCGATTATTTTACAGACCACCGTCATATAGCTGGAATATTGCTGAATGCGTCTTTAAACAACGAACAATATATCCAGCTTTATGATGGTGGCATGTGAATAATGGAGTCTGGACTAGACAATCTAGTGATTGATATTATGAGCAACAGTACACATAGTCGGGTATGATGACACTCTCCAAAGTCACACGATCAGCCCACCCATTTGGTTGCCTTTTCCGACAAGCATAAGATGCTAGCGACAAATTCTAACATATCATCCCCATTGGGCATTTCCATTAGTATTAATGCCAAGCACTTATTCTTAGGATCATCCCTCCAACATATTAGAAGCTTGGACAATTTCACTCACGGTGCTGCAAATCCAAATTGCACACTGCGATATTTTAGAGTGAGTAAATATGGTTTTCATCCAATCCAGCAAACTGATGATGAGGGAAACCATTAACATTGTATCATGTGTGGAATAGCACCATCCCTGATGTAAAGCATTGCGAGCAATGGAGGTTATCACACGAGTGTGTTTGGGGATGGTAAATATCCTGTATTAGGAATACATAGTGTTTATTCCTAATACAGGATATTTACCATCCCCAAACACACAAGCATGATTACCTCTTTATCATATAATGTCATGCTTTAATTCTGTGCTTGTAAATCGCTTTCCTTCTCTCACAAACATTACCGAAACATTGCAAGTTTTCCTGGAATGTGCGCATTAATATATATTACGTCACAGGGTAAGTGATGTGTCAGCCGGACAATGATAGTAGCCAATATAGTTCCAACTGAAACATGTTTCTTATACAGTGGCGAAACAACATACATGCAAAACAACAATTGCCTACACAAATTGTTTTTATTTGCCTTTCGCGGCAATCCATCAGTCTGTCCACTAGAGTAACTGCCCCTTGTCAAAGGGAAGCTACTCTAACCCTAGTCTATGAGACGTCACGGCCACGGTCAGACGTTGTTGACAGTCGGTCTGTCCTGTCATAACATTACGAAGTGCAGTCAGATGTACACACAGTGACAAAACGAAACAAGGTAACAATTCAAACAGATTTTGGCCAAATCCAACTTTTTTAATTTGCGGAAAAGGTTCTAAGCCGCAGAGGTCTACGAGCACATATATGGCTACTGATCACGCTTGGCTAGGCCTCGTGCCCTTGCAAAATTGTTTCGCAATTTATGTCTCCAAAGTTGCCAAAACTTGTTAAATGCCTTAGCTACGTCACAGATAGAAACTTATTTTAAGTATGTTAGACTGTTCTTTTGATACTGATAGCAATTATCTCTGTAGTTTCTCTATATTCCTGGTGGTTAATTCTGACTCGATCGCCGAATGACAAGGGTGACACCATGTTTGTTTATAAACACTGAAAGTAGTCCCTACTTGACCTTTCATATTTGCATCTCTATCCGCATATGACCCCAACAGATATCATTTTTATCCGTTGGCTTTATCCTGCCGAGAAACCTACCCATTATATGATAATACACTTTATCTACTAGGCTACCCCAACACCCCTGTAGTGGAAAAGAATGAATAATTATCAGTCAGCAGAGGTCATCACAAAACGTCTGCTTCTGTTCATGTACATCAATATCAACGAATCTGGTATTTCTCAGAGGCAAAGCACTAATAATTCCTAGTAGCTATGGTGGGACATCCATGGCATGTATGAATTGGTTAATCCCACACATGATCAACTCCTCATCTCTATTCCAAACAATCCAAACTCTCAAACAAAACCAAAAACGCCATGCAATCACGAACACACCCAAAAAATGGGGCGCCACAATACTGAGAAGCTAATATACACAAATCCTCTTTCTTCATTTTTTATTCATAAAAGCTCATTTTGTTCATTTCCTCATTACAAACCTAAACAAAGATGCTTTCTGAAAACCGAAGATGAAGATATGTTTTCATGAAAACAAATCAAATTACTCCATATTTGCCAGACATTTAGACTTCAGAAAGTACCAAGTTCAAATAACATAACACAATAATTCAAATCTCAACAAGGTATAAATAATCATAAAGATACCTTAAATAGATATTTGAAAAACAGCTCATTAAGCGCTACATGCAGCCCTAGGCCATGGGTCATTCACTGTGAAACAACTTCCGGTTGAAAGTAGTCTTTAGGATCGTACTTTTATGCGGTAATTGCCACCAACAATATGTCTATTTTAGCAAGAAGAAAGAAAAGCTGCTGTGCCACAGTGAAAGATGCTATTGAAATAAAACAGTTTCCCAAAACAATCTGCATGGCTCAATCACGGCCTGCTTGGCATGTGTATCAGAAATCTGTAGCTTTTTCACAAGCCTGAAGCTAAAATTGATCTCAACAAGACTGGTAGGCAATGATTTCAATAGCGGGGCATATGAGGAATGAATGGGTGCATACTGTTTTACCCCCCAGTTAGAAATATCACAGCAATATCAGGACAGCCTGAAATAATTGGTACTTGGTCAGGCACTTGTCTTTGATAGCTTGGGCAGTGATACATGCTGTTGGGGCATGTTGACACGCATTCAGCCAGGTCATACATTGCAACCACTGATCCTCAATAACCTTGTGCATTCAACTCTTTATCTCAAGGAATAACCTTATGCCTTCAACTCTTTATTTCAAGGAATAACCTCATGCATTCAACTCTTTATCTCAAGGAATAACCTTATGCCTTCAACTCTTTATTTCAGGGAATAACCTTATGCCGGCACCTTCAATTCTTTATTTTAAGGAATAACCTTATGCCTTCAACTCTTTATCTCAAGGAATAACCTTATGCATTCAACTCTTTATTTCAAGGAATAACCTTATGCCTTCAACTCTTTATCTAAAGGAATAACCTTATGCATTCAACTCTTTATTTCAAGGAATAACCTTATGCCTTCAACTCTTTATCTCAAGGAATAACCTTATGCCTTCAACTCTTTATTTCAGGGAATAACCTTATGTCGGCACCTTCAATTCTTTATTTTAAGGAATAACCTTATGCATTCAACTCTTTATTTCAAGGAATAACCTTATGCATTCAACTCTTTATCTCAAGGAATAACCTTATGCATTCAACTCTTTATTTCAAGGAATAACCTTATGCATTCAACTCTTTATTTCAAGGAATAACCTTATGCCTTCAACTCTTTATCTCAAGGAATAACCTTATGCATTCAACTCTTTATTTCAAGGAATAACCTTATGCATTCAACTCTTTATTTCAAGGAATAACCTTATGCCTTCAACTCTTTATCTCAAGGAATAACCTTATGCATTCAACTCTTTATTTCAAGGAATAACCTTATGCCTTCAACTCTTTATCTCAAGGAATAACCTTATGCATTCAACTCTTTATTTCAAAAACAACCTTATGCCTTCAACTCTTTGAAGGAATAACCTTTTCCCTTCAACTCTTTATCTCAAGGAATAACCTTATGCATTCAACTCTTTATCTCAAGGAATAACCTTATGCCTTCAACTCTTTATTTCAAAGAATAACCTTATGCCTTCAACTCTTTATTTCAAAGAATAACCTTATGCCTTCAACTCTTAATTTCAAGGAATAACCTTATGCCTTCAACTCTTAATTTCAAGGAATAACCTTATGCATTCAACTCTTTATTTCAAGGAATAACCTTATGCCTTCTCACCATTGGATTGTCAGCATGGTAACTCACAGTGCAAACAGAGTCAATTGTTTAGTGACAAGCAAATGGCATCACAAACATTATGACATCATGATATTCATACAGACCAATCAGAAGGCTACATAACAAGTAGTCACAAACTGTTTTGCCTTCTACTGTTCACTTCAAGGAATAACACTGCCTTCCAGTGGGCACAAGGACTGCAAGGGACAATTAATCGACAGCTAATCCAGCCACTGACAGTAGGACGATAAACAGGCCTAATGACCAGATTAACTTGACTAATGGAGTGTCACAGGCTACACACAACACACTTGCCGTACGACACAACGTTGTGTTCATGTACACACAATAATGTCAGCTACCAACCCGCAATCAGTCCTTGCAATGAATTATTTAAGGGAACTGATGCTGTCACACCACGAGTAAAAAAAGAGAGAAGATTAATACCATGCTACAATTAAACACTTTTCTCTTGAAGATCCTGTATGGAATAACCGAGTGAGTGAGTAAGTTGCTAATGGGTGAGTGAGTGAGTGAGTGAGTTGCTAATGGGTGAGTGAGTGAGTGAGTGACAGAGAGAGAGAGAGAGAGAGAGAGAGAGAGAGAGAGATAGAGAGAGAGTGAGAGAGTGAGTGAGTGAAGTGAACAAGTTTAGTAACAGCCCACTATTCATCAGATGAACATTATTTCTAGGTACCAGACAGTCTAGTACTTGGCCATAAGACATCATGATTATGTCATTAGCCAAAAACACCTTCGAAGTAGACTGAGTGCCCTTAGATACTCCATCACACCTATATAGGCCATGGAGAATAATGGATGACATCATTTAATATGTATTGTTCTCTATGGAACTTGAATATGACATCATGTGAGTGAGTGAGTGAGTGAGTAAGTGAGAGTGAGTGAGTGAGTGAGTGAGTGAGTGAGTGAGTGAGAGTGCGTGAGTGAGTGAGAGTGCATGCGTGAGTGAGTGAGTGAGTGAGAGTGCGTGAGTGAGTGAGTGAGTGCGTGAGTGAGTGAGTGCGTGAGTGAGTGAGTGAGTGAGCCACTGAGTGAGTGAGTGAGT